GTATATTAAAAAACACTGGCAATATTTTTCTGAGCGTGAACGGTTTTATTTGGAATTTTTTATTATCGTCTTGGAAGAAATTAGAAAGAGAAAATTATTTTAACAATACAATGAGAAATCTATAGCATCGGAATTTAAGTAATAAAAAAAAAGTTGAAAAATTCCCCCCTCTTTCCCTTCCCAGCTGAATCCGCCACTGTCACCATATTGCGTGACACGCAATGTTTTTGCACTTCTTGTCACATGATGAATGAATGAGCCGGTATTCATTGTTCAATGAATTATGTCGTTTTTAAGCTTTTTACCTAAAACACAACCCATAAACATGTATATATGATATTAATATAGTGGTTTTGCATAACACATTTGACGTGATACATGTACATCATAAGAAAAATTTGCATGAATGAGAATAACACAAGGATATGCCCTGACTTCATCGAACAACCATCAAAACAACCATACTAAATACGTCCMKGGACTACGGACTGGTTTTATCTAAGAGAGTTTTCAGTTTTGAGTTCAACAAATGCCGTGTGGCCTACTTTTTTCAAATCTAAGTGAACTTCAGTGAGCCAAACTTAGCTTACAAATGGTCTGGCAGAAGAACTACAGAATGATGTAAGCTTATATATTGTTAACTTCTCGGTTTAACATCATCAATAAACGTGAATTGCCTTATCTATTACCTTTCGAGCCAACAAAAGCGGCCTTAGCATAAACAGAGATCTTGCTGACTGGATTGGGTTAGAATTGAGTCTAGAAAACTTGAAATACAGGGCCATGTTGTAAGCCCTGGAGTTCCGTGACTCGTACTTCGTAAATATACCACAGGAAGCCCAAAATATATTGTTTTGGTGACTTGAGCTGAGTGTACCTAAATGTCGTGGGTCGTGGGTCGTGGGTACGAAGTCGTGGGTAGTGGGTAAAGTCGTGGGTAAAGTCGTGGGTACGAAAAATTCATTAAAATCACGTAAAAATCACATAGAAGTAAAGAAAAATGTTTAGATACTCTAAAGAA